GGGGGGGGAGTATTTTTGTTTTGTTTTTACAAATTTATGTTTGAACCAACAAAAATTAAATGAAAAAAATGTCTTGTTATGTTTGTAGCTTATGTCTCGCACTTATTTGATAAATAGAAAAAACCAAAAAAATGTCTTCTTTATTTTTTTAGGTGTGTTTTTTTATTTTTTGGGAGGATGGGTGGGGAACTCCGCCTATGCCATTGTAAGGTGACACTTATAATTACATAGCCGGTCTCAAGCCCGGAAAAAGGAGGAGAGACCACTCATGTGCTTTGGTTTTGCGGCTAATTAGTGGCATCCAATAATCTGCAGTATAACCATGTGAAAATAATAATTAAAGACTCAAGTGTGCAAAAAAAAAATGCTTTTGAAGTTTCAGATGTACTCCATAGTTTTAAATAGCCGGCTATAACCCCGCTATAGCTGTTTGAGGGTGTTGCCGCTAAATGATTTCATGTACAATTTGCCGCTATAGCTCCCAGCTATATATAGTTGTTTTTTAGGATCGCCGCTAAATGCCATAGCCCGCTATTTAAAACATTGATGTACTCCCATGGAAATTTACTACTGTATGTTACTGATGGCATCCGGAGGGAGTATATTATATTATATTATATTATATTTTTGCTATAGTTAAATGCCTTATTGAAGTAGTTTTCAAATCTGCGCATTGCAATCTAGTTTTCAAACGTGCCGCATAGCTATCTAGTTTCAGACGTGCCGCATTGCTAGCCAGCCATGCACAAAACACTGGCATGCAAAAGCTAGATCGCTGAAATACTCTGTTACTGCAGTAGTTGCGTGTGAAGAAGTAAAGAAACTACAGGTACTGAATTTAGAAGTGACGTATCTGTGTTACTGTGAAGAAGTAAAGAAGCTCTTTCAACTAGTACATACACATTTTTTGTCATTGTCTGAAGCATGCATTCCTGTCTAGAACCCAAATGCCAGCTTTGCCTTGTACATGCAGTCAACGAGACCTAACCTAACTGGACTCTGTATCCTTAGCTTTCATTTATCTGACCACTATCTTGACATCAGCAACGAACCAAGCTCACATTTTTCAGAAGTGTCTTTGTTATTTTACAGAGTGGCTTCTGCAAATGCCATAAGAAGCATCCATCTGCAGAACAAGTGGAACCACAATCCTGCAGCAGAAGCAGATTACTCACAATATATAGTTCTTCTTCCCAGCATATACAGGTCGCAAATAGTAATGACTCATCTTTTTTTTTGCGGGAAAGTAATGACTCATCTGATGTACAAAGAGTTTTTTTTTGAAAAGGGGAATGACCCCGGCCTCTGCATCATCATGATGCACACAACCATTGATGTATAGAGAGTATAACTAGCTTCTGATCTGCTCAAAACTGGCTACAAAATGCAGGTTAGTCCGCGCCTCTGAAGAGAGACTGAGTGAACATTCCCTGCAATCAAAAGATAACGCAACACATCTGTCACAGATATAGAGCTTAGATAAGTTCATATCCCTTCATGAATTCCAAAAAATAGATGTACTCGTGTACCCGACGGCACAAACTTCATATCCCTTCATAGTATGGTCCATGGCATGAAGCCCAAATGTCGACTTGTCTTGCGTCCTCATCGATTTCTGAGCATTTTCGCCTGATTAGCCATTGTGGTGCATGCTTGTACTTAATTTACATTGTCGGTCCATGTGAAGTGTAGAGCTCTAGCTGGTCACAAGTATTTACCATATATGGATGTTTTGTTTGCTAAAAGAGACTTTTGATCTGTTGATTTCTGCAGGCGGCGGTGATGAGACTATTTGCAGCAGCTAGCAATGGAAATAACAGAAGTCCATCTTGTTGTTTGGCAATGCTGGCCAAGTGATCTCTCAAGGTATTTCCAAAGAAGACACCTCCGTGTGCAGGTCCTTTCTCTTACTGATGCCCTTGGTGCATTCCTTATCTGAAGCTTCCATTCATGTGCTGAATCTTTGATCCACTTACCTTGCTCGCAGCAAACAACAACGCCCGGGATTCTGAATCCCTCGTTTTCATTCAGCCTCAGCACCAACACCTACAGGCAGGCTGGTACCGGCACAGAATAGGCAGCATGACGAAGCTACTTGTTCGCGCAAGCCTTGAGACGACAATGAGAAAAACAAAGTCTGAGCTGTAGCATACACTGTTTTGTGCTTGTTATTGTAAATCTACAAGCGTGTCCGTCTAACAAGGCAAGTTACTGGTGCAAAATGCCGAATTTGGTTCAGCAATAAAATTTGTTTTTTGTCCAAATAGCCAAAGTTATACGGGAAATTAAGCTACAGCACTGCAGGTTAACATGTGTTCATATTCATATTCCATACTTGCATTATTGTTGAAATCGCCCAATGAATCGATCCACAGTTTTACCAAACCAGGCAACTGACAGAGGGTTCAGAACATCGCATTCCCCTGTAGCTGTAGGAGGACGACATGGAATGGGGTGGTGGGGAATGGAAAGGGATGGTCTTACTCTTACCGGTGGGGGATCTCCGCTGTCTACCGCTGCCGCCACAGGTAAAGGTTAGGTAGGACTGACTGAGAGGAAATAAATCAATTAATCCAGCTAGCCAGGGGTTTGTGGCCAGAGAAGAGAAGAAATAGGGGAAGGAGAAAGGCTGACCTCGGTCGGGAGACGACTACGAGCCTACGAGGAAGCGTCGCCGGCCGCCGCTCCTTTCTTCCGCCCGATGGGGAGTTGCCGCTGGGTGAAGTGGGTTGAGGTGAAACGATGGGCCAGGCAACCAAGGCCTATCACATTGAGACAGAGAACAACGTACACAGAGCGCATGCCAACTGGGCTAGCCCATTTGGTCGCGGCAAAGAGAACCCGCACTGTAGCGCCAGGTTTTATTTCGAACACTTTTAAATACATATTGAACATTTTTTGAATACACAGAACATTTTTGTAATTCACACTAATGTTTTTCAAAATATACATTGAAATTTTTTAATACATGATATGTTTTTTGTAATGCATGGATTTCGTAACATACGGTGAATATTTTCTTAATATGCGATGAACATTTCTGTAATACGTGGTGAACATTTTCTAAAATGCACAAACAAGAGAAGAAAAGATAAACATAAATACAGCAAAAGGAAAAAAAAGGAACCAAAGGAGAAAATACAAAAAAAACAGAACAAAACCACTGGAAAATCAGATAACTATTTAAAAAAGGAAGAAAACAGGAGAATGGCCAAACATGGAAGGAGAAAAAGGAAAACGGAAAATATAAAAAATAACTATACAAAGATAAATAAACAAACCAAAAACCACAGAATAAAAAAGGGGGGAAACACAGTACCACTGAACGAAGCAACAAACGACCCCCATAAATGGGCACCCCAGCTTGCTCCGCAGCGGGTGTTGCCTCGACATTTGTCTCCCACAGGTGAAAAAATAGGATCTATTGTGTTATATCTGTATTATTGCAAGATTTTTGTTTTTTGAGAAAGGCCGGCCCATTAGCGCACTAAAAAGAAATAGATATAGAGAAAATGGGCGTGCACGGGGTTTCAATCCCTGCAAATCCTTTTTCCTTCGTAGCGCTGCTACCCACTTAGTCATCAACTTGTTCATGTTCGATAAGTAGCTGGGTCTCCACTGGCCTTTTTTCTTTCTTGTTTTCCACCGCTTTTTCATCGTTTCTTTCTATATTTTTACTGGCTTATTTTCTTTTCTTTTTTTTTCTTTGGTTTTTCTTTCTTTCTTTCTCAGTTATTAATGCATTTTTTCTTTTCTTTCTTTCTCTTCATTTTTCTTTGTTTCTTTTTTGTGTATTTAGGATTACTCTAGCAGGAACATGCGTTCTTTGGAGTCTGGATAATTAAGCCATGTGATAATCATGCTAGGTAGTTGTTGAATCATTACAAGTTTAGCCACACAACGTAAAATTTTCGTAAATTTTTATGAATATTCTCATGAATTCACAATAGCATTTTCAATTAATGTTTTTTAAATAGTTAGTGTACATTTTCAAAAATACATGGACATTTTTTCAAATCAACAATCTTTAGAAAAAATGTGAAAACTTTGTAAAATACATTAATAATATGAAAATTCATGAACATGTTCTAATTTCGAGATGAAAAAAACAACTTTAACATTGTTTCGTTTAATTAAGTTTTTCAGAAATAGAAAAACCAACAAGATAACATGCAACATAGCAAATTGCCCGGCCCATTCACTCCTATCTATCCCTCGAAAAAAGTTGTAGGCATTCATCGCTGGAAAATGGCCAGGCTCGTTCACCGAAATTATTTTGGATCCTCTGTTCGGTTTCTTTTCCGAACACCGAACAGAGCATCAGGGGCTCCTGTCTAGACTGTGGTATTCTTCCTACAAATTACATTACTCACCTCAAAGCCTAATAGAAGGCTAGCGCAGGCTTCAGTCATTCTTCTATACC